GAAGAAATGCTGTTTTTATTTGTTTCCTAAAAATTAAGAAAAATAATAATTAACTGAGGCGACTGCTTGTACGATGGAATCTAGGCTTCTCATACAAGTAACAGAGCTTTGCTGGATGTATGAGTTGTAACCGCCCTTTTCTCCCTCCCCCTTCACCACCTGTTCATTTTTACCTTTGATTTTGCTTCTCTTCGGAGTTTTCTTCTAACTTTCTCCTTGCCTTTCCCAGGGTTGCCAAAGGATGTGGATTCTTTGGGAAATTTCCACCAGGGTCCCCCAAATGTGTTGTGTTTAGATCTGTTATTCTTTTGCTGCTCACAACGTAAGTTCAAGCAGCAAAGCAAAATAAAATAAAGCAAAAAGGTCTGAGCACTGTGGTTGCTGTGCTGCCCAGTAATGTGATTTCCTCTGAAAGGAACGCTCCACTTGCTGCCAAGCCAACAGCTTTTAACCTTTCTTGGGAGAGGTGTACTTAAATTTGAACAGATTTTAAGAAAAAATTTGTTCTCTAAGCTATTTCAGCATACAAGTTAAACTCAAATCCATGTCAAGTGCTCAAAATAGTAATAAATATTCCTCTTTGTTTCATTTTTGAGACTCTTAAAACATTTTCCTTTTCAGAGCTATCGTTGAATACAAGTTTATGGGAAGCAGTGCTTTCAAGCCCAATATTAAGAGCCAAATCCTAACCTACTGAAACTCCGTATGGCTGACCCTTTCACTGGAGGGATGCTGATTTATACAGGTGAGAACCCAGGTTTAAGTGTTTTATTCTATCAGCAGACTAAGAGAAAGTGAGTTGTTTTGCTGAGACTTCATCTACAGTGCAGCAATGATTATCAAAGCAAGGCAGATATTGGGAATTTCACTCTGCAAGACAAATATTGCACATGTGTAGTTGTAACTCAGCATAAAAATGTTCTATCAAGTTTCAACTCTGAAATTAAAAAGCACAATTACTCTTTTTTCCATTGCAATAGGAAAACATGACATACTAAGAAATAAGAGCAATGCATTCTTCAGATTGCAAGCAGATTGCCCGTGGATTGCAAGCAAATAGAAGAAACGGAGTCACATTTTTGTATGAAAATAAAGTCATTTCTAAACTAATGGATCGATAGAACAAGACACACTACAAGTGCTGTGCCACAGATGTCACTTTCGCGAAAGTTCATCAGCAAAAGAGCACGATAAAAGGAAGGTATAGGCACTCGATTTCCATTTCATGTACAACCACCTTTGCAATGTAAACATCCTGGAGGAGCAGGAATATTTGGGATCATACGTTATTCCCTTTCTTAAGCACACTCGGGGGAACTCCTGTTTGAAAATCAAGGGCACAGTTTGGTCTTCAAAGTTTTCAGGAATTTCTGCAGTTTTTCTATTTCAACTTGCCAGATATTAAAAGTGAAGGGTCAAATCTGCAGGTGGTGTAAATAACCACAGCTCTGCGAGTGCTTTGAGCTTATGCTCATTTACATCACATGGAAATTATATTTCCCACTTCTTCTGTAACTGTGCATGTATATATATATATGCATGAGTGTGTGGTGAATACATATTATATAGAAAGTGAATGCTTTGATCTGTCAAAATGAAGATATAAATATAAAACAGGAGACAGAATATGGAAATCATACATTCTGCATTTACTTTGAAAACTGAAAGTTATGGGGAAAGAAACATTGTTTATGTTCAAGGAGAACCTGGTGGTTTGCTTAAATAATCTAAAACCAAACCACCGTCACATGAAAGATTTAACAGCTTCCTGACATGGTTGACAGGCTCAAGCTATGACTTGCTAACTTTTGTATAAACAAATAATTACTAGACAGTGATGGATCCATTGTGGATTCCTACTTTTACAGTATAGACCCTGGTGCAGCAAAGCACTCAAGACGGTTAACTTCAAGCAACTGAACAGTCCCAGCGAGTTTGGTGAGCTCACTCGCCTGCTTAAAATTAGCCATATATTTAATTTGAGACGTGCATTTTAACTCCATCATTAATCAGCAGAGCACTTCAGCCTGTGCATAAAGCAGCTGCTTTCTATAGGGCTTACACACATGCTTAAATACTTTTCTGAGCAAGGACTGTGTGGTTTGAGTCTTCAAGATCCTGATCACATCTTAGATGTAATCCTGCAGAGCATTCAAACAGGCGAGTCATATTCTATGCATAAGAATCGGTGAGATCCAACATCGTTTATAAGTTAAACCACACTTCCAAACTTTACAGCACGTGGCAAGACTAAGCCAGGAGGAGAACACTGAATATGGAGAATGTTAAAGTTAATCCCCAAAATATACTGCATTCTCAATTTATTCTACAAATGCAGTTCAGTTTAAATTATCCAGTACAGTGGTTTAGACTATAATACGAAAAAGATCTAATATGTTTTGTGAAAGCAATGATGCCTCAGTAAAGGAGGGTTTCAATCCCCTGCTCTGAGCTTTTCTGCAGCAAATAAATAGCATGCTTTGTGGGGAAACGGCAAGGGAGCAGCTCAGACAACGCCTGACAAGCTTGTTTGCTACCACATTGGTGCAGAGCCAGCAGCAGTGGCTACGCTGCCATGCACCAGCAGCTCACCACGGCTCTTCCCCATCCGGAAGGGAGGACGTGGCTGGGCGACTGCCTCGTGCTGCCGAGGTGGCCGAGTCAGCTGCTCGCCCGCCCGTGCTCTGGAGGATGCTTGGGAGGAGGGCCCATGGCCGCCTTGCTCTGGTACCGCCAGGCAGGGAGTACCCGCTCCAGCTACGCCCTACATCAGCTACACAGGCATCTCCCTGCACCTCTTCTGGAGCATGTTCCTCTGCAGCTGCTAAAATCTTAAACTGGTAATAAAAATGAGAGATTTTTCCAATGCAAATAGTTGCATGCTTTCTCCTAAGCGTCTTTACAGGTACCTAGGTGTGCATAGTCTTTTTGCGCAGCTATTTCTGCCGTAAATAATTGGTGTATTCATGGAAGGTGGGGAAAAAATCAGGGGAAGAAATGCCTATTTTTCCCTGCGGCCATAGGTTTGTTAACATAATGATAAGAAAAAGTACGACCAAAGAAGAAAGAAAAAAATCCCAAGCTTGTGTGGGTCAAGTCTCTAAATAGGATAAATCTAGTCAGTTGACTAGAGCATTATTCATTTTTAATTAGTTTGAAGCAAATAGTGCAATTTGTGCCAAGCTGCAAAATCGCACTGTCTTCACGAGGAACCAGCTTGACAACAGACAAATTAATCCCTGCAACAGCACTCCTTCTGTAAGCTCACCATCAATATTCCTCATTTAAAAAGTAGTATGCTGAGTATGCTCTTCCACTAGGCTGTTTTTGTATCACAGTTTGACTTTTCTTCCCCACTGCTTAAACTAGAGATGTAAAAATCTGGGGACTTTTATCAACCCATAAATATACCTGTTGCGTAATTATGCAAATCAAACTAGGAGCAGTCAATGGGATGTTTATTTATCCAAAAACCTGACCTAGATTGCCTGCTGACTTTCTTGGGATGTGAATGCATTTTTACCTCTGTTCAAACATAACTTTTCACCTTAATGCAGGCAGTGACTTTGCTGCACCGAGATCTACAGCCTTTTCCAAATAGCAGCGTTCTAATAAAGTGAAGAAATCCGGCTACGACAGGAAATTGCAACCTAGCAATGGGTACATTTGAGAAGACACTAAATTATCCCAATTCTGAAAGATAGTGATGGTCCATTAGCAACAGTGGGCGGGGATCGGTTATCCTGGGCATTCGAACTACTATTTGGGAAGGAAACAATGTGGTTTGGATTTGTTTTGATTTTTTTGTCATATGAAATTGCACTGGTAATATTTGCAGAACGAGACATTAAATTCGCTATACGTGTTGCTCTATCTTTGTCCTCTGATTGTGTTTCACAGACAATAAAAAGGCATTTTACAGCCATTTCTACCAAGATCATAGGCGTGGCCATTAAAATGTTTCTCTTTACAAAATCAATGGAAAAAAAGCAGAGCTGTGCTTACAGTCATGAGCTTAGCCTTGTCATTCAGGGATATGACTTCAACAGCCAGCATTGCATCCATTATGCAGCCAATTCCTTGAAATCTTAAAGAAAGCGACGGCACCAGAGGGCTCGGTCACTGCAGTGCCATCATCTCCTGCCCGTTAAAGCTCTTCCTTGTCTCCTTTCAGCCATTGGTTCCTCCCCATTTTCAGTCGTGTACACAAGACACAAAAAAGAGCTGATCAGTTTTCCTTAAAAGCTTTCCCCTTAACGTAAAACCTGTTGTTTATCAAAGCATTTATATATAATATATATACGTCATATATATAATATATATATTATATATATGTATATAAAATAACTATGATTTATGTTATGGCTAAATCGGTTCCTCCCCATTTTCAGTCGTGTACACAAGACACAAAAAAGAGCTGATCTCAGTTTTCCAAAAGCTTTCCCCTTAACGTAAAACCTGTTGTTTATCAAAGCATTTATATATAATATATATACGCGCTGCTATGCTAATACCAGCTGTTAAATTCTCCGAGTGAATTGCCATCTTGACTATAAAATAGGGTTCTGGGGAAAGGAGAGATCTGACCTTGGTGAACTTTTCTAGCAAGTTCTAGCAACGGATACTTTTTTGCTCTTTAAAAAAAAAAAGAACAGTAAGGGAGTAAGTGTTGAAATCCACGGAAAAAAAGAAGTACGGCCCTCAGTCCCAGTAACTGGTCTTCTTTGGCACTTGAGAACGATCACAAGTAGTTTGCCTTTTTATTCATATAGAACAAAATTTACAAAGTCATTCATACATTTTTTGTTTTTTTTTGTTTTGTTTTTTACTGACTTCGAAAATTGGGAATATTCAAAATACACTTTTACCCCACTTCATTCTTTCATTATTTACAAGTATATACAAGAAAAATGTAAGAGTTTGTTTTTTTGTTTTTTTTTTTTGTTTCTTTTAAATTTTGTATTAAAAAGCTCTGCTGGTTGTTTTACTGTTTGTTTTCATCATATGGATGTTCCATGCGAGGGCTCCATTGCTTCTGGAATGACTCCCCCCGGCACAGACTGAAATGACATTGGGATCGGGGTTTTCACGGGACTCTGACGAAATAGTCCTCCATTCGGCGACCTGTGTTTACACTGTATGGAGGGCATGGTGGCTGAGCTGCTCAGGGGCAGCGGCAGGTTGCTGCCGGAGGCAGCTGTGAGTGTCCTGCTGGCACCATGAGTTGTCTGTTCTGGTAAAAAGGTGGTGACAGAAAGTTGCGTGTTCTGGTATTCGCGTACCGGCTCCAGGGTCTGAGTTGGCTGCATGCCACCAATCTCCAAGGCTGAGATTTCAATGGACGCTGGAGAGATTTGCTTGTGGGCTATGTCTTCGTCAATTAAACTGTTCATGCGTCTGTGGACCTGCTCCAGGTTCACTTCTTTGTCCTAGTGAGGAAGAAACCAGAACAATCAGTCCAAACACAATCTCCAATCCTGCCTGGCCCCCCTCCACCACCTCTGTGTGACAGGAGCTGCTGTTCACTCATTACATCGCTTCAATTTCATCTGTGCCTATGCAAAACCTCGAGGTCTGCCCAACATCTGCAGCTGAGAAGCACATGCTGAAGAACACACCAGCTCAATCTCAGCCTGCAAAAGCCCCTGATGTCAATATCATCCTCCTTGGAGGTGAACCAGCTCTGGTTCAGCTAACAAGAGCTGGCACCAGGGACCAGCACATCCTGCAAGCCCTTAGCTCAACTTGCACAAGCCCAGAAAAAAAGCATATAGCAGGCAAACAAGCAAGTTGGGACTCCAAATTCCAGCGAGCAGCTCGCCACCTTGCAATCACAAGAAAGCTCACCGTCTCATTTAGCTGCAGTGAATGTTCTAAGTAACATGTCAGTAAAACCCTGCGCACAGCCTAGCTGACTTCAGGGTAGTTGCTTCACGTGCCAAAATCTACTGGCCAGGGGTTGTGGTGGTGAAGAAGTCTTCCCTTCCCAGCAGGAAGCCCTGGGTCACCTACGTGGCACAGACTATTGACCTGCTGGAACAGCAGTAAGAGAGACCTGCTCTGTGAGCCCTGGGGAAGGGACCGCTCATTTGTGTTTCGAACAGTTGTGTGACCAGCTACAAACTGTCTTGTCGTCTTGCCATGTCATCTGTTAAAAGTTTATGTCTGTGGTCAGAGCTTGGGAAAGCAATGCTGGTCTTCAGAAAACGTAGCACCTTCTTCTTAGAAAGCATTGGCTAAGTGTCCCAGAGTGGTCTCCCCAAGGGACTTTAAGCACTACTTGTTCAACATCTTTTATCTTCCATGAGTAAATAAGGCCAAAGAAATTGTCTTTAAAACCTGAAGCAGCAAAGACCTGCAATGGGCTGTTTCTCACCTCAGCACAGCATTCAGAATGCTCAAATTGGAAAGCAATAAAACTGGCGGGGTAAAGTCAACCACCTGGGATGCTGTATGACTGAATTTTAATAGCTAGCATTGTATTGCCAATAAAAAGGTACTATATTATATCATTTCTTTATTTCATAAAGCACAGTTATGATCTGCAGTTGTAGTTATTTGGTGCAAGTGTAACGTGCAGCAGACTAGCAGCAAAGCATCTATAAAAGCCCAACAATCCTGGAATTAGAGAAATACCCTGGTCTGACAGAAACCTGCAATTACACTGGGCAATCAGCAGAATCCCAGCCTAGGAAATAGGACTACCTGAAACTTTTGTGTTCCAGTAATCCCTGATTGCCCACAGATCAGCGTGTGCTTAGATGTTGGTTAAACCAAACAACGGCAGCCTTACAGATGCTCTGATTCATGCAAAAAAAACAGGCTCTGGGAACAGAGAAGCATAATGTGCCACTGCCACCCACTCCTCATGATCTTTTGCCACTGGTGTTCAGGTAGAGCACAGAGAATTACAACATTATTCCACTGGTATCCACTGCTATGCAACTTTGCTTTCACCTGTAAAGTGACAATCAAGTCAACTCCAAAGCCCTTGATTCCAGTCAATGTCAACTACAGATTTAATTCTAACCTTGTGATTTAACACCACTTCTGTATTACTCAAGAACCATCGAATCTGCTGATCTCTGCATGGATTTCGAAATGAATCAGTGTTACATGATGATGAACCCAAACCTGTGCCCTTAGCTTAGGCTAAATCCCCATTGATTTCAACTGGAGTACAATTGTTCAACAATTACAGGGCTGAGCTGCACATTGCACCTCCTTTGCTCATCAGTGGAAAACGAATTCCTATTTATTTACATCACAAATACACCAAACTCCCAATGAAGCTCCCAGGAACCCTGCGGATATCATCTTCCTCAGCAGAGAAACAAACTATTTTTTTAAAAATACTGCTTTTTCATCCAAATCCTCCAATCAGATAATTTTGAGTCAGAGAAAATCAATGGACAATAAATAAAAAATAAACTTTTGCGGCAGAAAGGGACCACACAATACTTGATCAGATAACCACCGCAGCTTCTTTGAGTCCTTCTTGCCAACAGCCGTACCTGACCCGTCAGGCTCGTCATTCGCTAAGTTAAAGACAATACAGCAAGCTGACGATAACACAGAGGCTCTTTCATAAACTCTGTAGCAAGGTAAATTAAGGATTTGTGGTATCATGGCCAGAGGATGACATGGATTTAATTCACAATTTTATTTATTTCTGTTTCTTGAAGTCAAACTGCGGACGGGGGGCAAGTGTGAGAAGCGTTCCTAGATCCCCCTCCGCTGGGAGTCAGGGCTCAGCCTCCCTGGGCGGGTGTCCGTGCACAGCCGCCCGGCCGCGCGCCGCTGTGTTCTCCTCAGCTGCCTGCCGACGAAAGCTTGCTGCAAAGTTCTGCTTATCCGCAAACTTCAGCTACCACCGCGTACGACGATATCCGTGCCTGAGGAAGCTAACTCCCAGAAGCCCGGTATATAACGCTTCTTTAGGTACCCTGTACTATTCCTTTTCTCAAAAATGCCGTTAGCTTTGATTTAGACTCCTAGGTTGGCATTGTAGTTACCCGGGACCCGTATTCTTGCTAAGACCCCACTACAAAATAAGAAAAAAAGCAGAGAACTCAGGTTTGAACTGAGCAAATACTAGAACAGATTTTCCTAAATAAGACTTTGGAGAAATGTTCATGACTCATTTGCATTTTTCTGAGCTTTTGCCAAATACTACTGCTTTCTTCAGATCATTTCAAGTGAAAATATACATCAACATTTTATTTGTATTTTTTGATTGCAAGCACATCCTCAGTGCATTCCATCCATGGGTTATTAAGGGTTATTAAGGACCACGTCGTTTGGAATGTTTCCCTCCGCTGGCCTAACAGGATTGCCCTCTTTTCTTCTACTATGCACGGTCCAGCCCTGGGACGGCATTCCTCGGAAAATAGCAGATTTGCTGTTGCTTATGTTTCACAATATAAATTTATGTTTCCCTGTGCTAAAGTTTTCATTATCAAGAAAAACATAATTCCTGCACACAGACATCCCATTTTATCTACTACAGAATACTGTATGAAGTAAGAGTAGAGAAGAATGCTTGGAATTTTTTTACGAGGTAGAGGTGGGGATTTCATTTGCCTACTTATAACTCTCTTTTCAGCATTAAGGACACTTTCTGGCCTTATTAAGATCGGAGAAAACTTTTTAAAGGGTTCTAAGAGCCCAGAAGTTTACATTATCCCTTCTTTTTGCTGTTAAAATAAAATGTTTGTAAAGGTTAAGGAAAACAACTCTGTCTCTGAGGAATAATAAAAACACATTTTTAAAGGTTCTTCCCTTTGTCTTTGTCTTATTAAATGAAGAGCAGCTAAATAACTAAATGTCAAGCTTTGTATGAAACTATCTTAATGCTGAATGATTTTTCAAATGCTTTAAAAAAAAACCTAAGATAAAAATTAGAAACCCTTGAAAAGATTAGTTTGTCATTACATACTAGAAGACTGCCTTGAATCCCGAGATTTCCAGAACTGAAGGTTTTGGGACAGCTTTATTTGACAAGCCAAGCTTTACAGAATTTCTGTAAGCCTCACCTTTCTTTTCCTTTATTGTTCTCCTGGAAAATCCAGTAACAAAGCACATGTTACTGAAAAGTAACAAGGTAAATGGGAAAAGGGTTAAATGGCAATAAAGCCAGAAAAACAAATCTTAAAAGTTATGATGTTTTGCTCCCTTGTCAGCTCAGTGTTCTCCTTTATTTTTACTTCTACAATTCTCATTAAATATGAGCCATTTGTTATCATTTTTAAGCCCTTAGGTTGTTTTTTTTTTCATTTCCTGGGGCTTTGTCACCTTAACTGTGAAATGGTAATGTAGCATTGCCAAAGATTTTCAAGCTTTCTGATGCCGTAACTGTTCCCTACTTTTGTATTTCTCTATGACGAAATTAACGAATTAAAATTAATAAATTACTTTAAACTAGTAAATTGAGGCTTGGAGCTAGGGAATGGCAGAGGCACCAGACCTG